CGTGTGCTGTGCTCATTTATTGTACACCCTGGGATACTAAGAGCATGCACCGACACGAATATGAAGATTGAACAGCACGGCACACAAGCAGGCGCGGACCCCCAGAACGCCTGGCAGTCACCATACGGTCGGCTTTCCACCAGGCCGTTGGCCGTGGCAGCAGGTGCAGCGCCAGTCACGTGACGCCAAGTGTAAAACATAACCGTCCCGTACCACGGGAGAAGACGGCACAAGCAGCGTCCAGCCTACGCCAAGATAACGTCACAGACTGCACTGATGGGGATGACCGGCGCCACGGGGAATGAGGCAACGACGCTTCGCGTCATCACACTGACCGACACGGATCGGCTGCTGCTCACAGGCGCGACCGCGCACGGGCACGGCGGAGTTCCACAGGCGGACACGCTGACATCACGCCGGCGCGCGGACGGTGCTGCGCCGCGGGCTGCTGTGCCCGCTGGCCGGACGGTGCCCGGCCGGCGCGCGGGCGCGCCTCGGTCTGCCAGCCGGCCGGAGTGGGACCGCTGCCGCTGCCGCCGCCGCCGCCGCCGTCCGCTAGTGGTCGCCGCTGTCCCGGCTGGCGGAGTCGCCGCGGCCGTTCGCCTCACCCGCCGAGCGTCTGCCGGCACGAACGTCGTTAACGCACAGGCACGCGCTCTCCCCCTCCTCGCCAGCGTCCACCGACGCAGGGCGCGCCGGCTGCCGCTCGACCGCTATGCCTGCGCCACCGTCCCACCACATCATGGGACTGACTCAGTACATTGATAAATCCCGGCCAGCTAGGACGTCCAGATTGTGACCCCGAAAACATGTGTCCCGTTGTCGGGCGACGCAGACCCGCACCGATCAGCCTGCATCAGGCCGCTGCCAGCGGCGAGCCGCCGGAGGTCACGCACCTGTCGTCGTCGGGCCTCCTGTCGCGGCCGTCGGCGTCCCGATCGCGGCTGTCGCGGCGCTCCCTGGCGCGGCGCCGCTCCCGGGACCTGTCGCGGTCCCGGCGCCGCTCGCTGGAGCGGTCCCGGTGCCGTGAGCTGCCGACGGATCGGCGGTCGGGTCAGTCCGGCTTCGCCCTCAGTCAGGTCCCCCTCCCCCGGCGCTGACGGGTCGGCACCGAGGGGTCGCCACCTTCATCCGCCGCCACCCGGTGGACCTGACGACCGACTCCTTCCCGCTCCGCGTACGTACGGCAGCACGGCTCCTTGGGTACAGGCGTAGGCAGAATGCGCGACAATGCTTGCGGCCGCGGGGAAGCCGCTCACCTACAACTGGTACTTTCATAATCCCCATCCTTTAACTGATCCACACCGATGATCTTTGAATTCTGCGAAGTCTACAAAACAATTTAGACAGAACTTGCCCGGTGACTCCAAGACACTTCTTGATGCTTCACTTTGGCCACTCGTGCACGTGAGATTCGCCTCTGCAGTCACACAGGGACTGACCACTCCTGGGACTGACCACTGACCACCGACAGGGGCACACACTCCTCTGGTACTGACCCGACCCGTACCCTCCCATCCGCCGGGCCCGGCCAAAGCAGCGCGCTCACCTGCGCTGACGGTCGCGGCTGCGGCTACGCGAGCGTCGCCGATGCCGGTCACGGTCACGGTCCCGGTCCCGCTCACGGTCCCGCTCACGGTCGCGGTCGCGGTCGCGGTCGCGGTCGCGGCTGCGGCTGCGGCGGCGTCGGTCGCGCGAGCGGCTTCGCTCGCGGTCGCGCGAGCCGCGGCGCCGCTCGTCCAGCTCGGCCTCGCGCGCCTTGCGCCGCTGCTCGCGCCGCTCCTCCACCGACTTCTGCGGGACAGAGGAGGGCCAGCGCTCACGTCAGGGACTCGGACCACCGGCCGGCGCACACAACGCACCGCTGCTCACCGCGCACGTGCAACGACTTCCGCGCCAGCATGCAAGCGTCCTCCAGAGCGTGGACAAACCACGGCCCGGTAAAATACGGCGGTGGACGCACCGCCGGTTGAGGCCGATGACCGGCAGCAGGGCTTCACTCGCCGGGCAGTGATCTCGACCGACTCACCCGCAGCTCGGCCAGGTTCTCCCTGATCTTGATGAAGCCCAGGTGCAGCTTGCCGCCGAAGTGGTCGGCCAGCCGACGGTCGTTGTCGTGGATGCCGAGGTAGGCCGAGCACACCTCGCAGACGCGCAGCTTCTGCTGCTGGTAGCTGCTGGCTGGCATCGAGTTACGGTACTCCTGCTCGGCCACGGCCTTCTGTTTGCGGATATCTTCCACCTGGTGGCGACGAGGCCCTAGTCACCGACGGGTCAGGTCACAAGACGGAGGGAACAGGCGTAACGTTTGACCACCCCCCCCCCCCCCCCCCACGCGACACATAATGTCGCGTTGCGACTACAATTCTGGTATCGGAGGTTATGAGGTAATTGGGACAACATTGAATGAACAGGGACAACGCTCGGGTCCACTATGTTGGGATCCAGGGGAGAACAATGCGCGGGGCAGAGTTACGAGTGGACCAGTTTTGCAAGCATTCTATCCATTGTGGCACGGGCTCACGGTGACCGCTTGGCAAGGTAGGGATGACGCAAACTCCACATGTCTAATGATCTCCAGAGCAGTGGCAGACATAGACGACAGCGCATCGCCCATGAGCCTGCCGGCAGCGTTGGCAGCGCGACTGCCCAGCCGTCCGTGGCCGTACTTCCTCCATGAGCTTCATGCTCTCCTCGACGAGGCCGTCAGCGCCCAGCTCTTCAGCGCGCGCCAGCTTCTTGCCAATCTGCTCAGCCAGCTCGTGCACCTGTCCCAAACACGGGCGGCAGTGGTCGGCTTGGCCTCCCTCGAAACACCGGCCACTGCCGTATTCTCGAGGCCTCCACCCACACATGGTGGAGAACACCAACACAAGTCGAACGGAGAACGCAGGAGCCGAGTCCCGCAGCACACTGAGAAACTGGTCATGCTTACAACGGAACAGTTAGCAATACTGTCCTCCAAAACACAAATGGCGCCAAAAACAATAAAGGCAACGGATTGCTTGGGCTGTTGCCCGCGACCGCTGCTTCCAGGGCAAATACCTATTCAATTAACAACTCAAGCACCATCGACCGAGACTTTCTCAAAGTCACCGGCTACAGAAGCCTTCAAAGACATTTCATTCTGCCGAGCCCTTACGAGGATATTTGATGTGGTCGGAAGGAGCCATCCATGGACACGTCTGGTTAAACACTTGTTACGGCCGGCGGGCTCAGTCGGCACCCGGCGCCGGCCACCAGAGCGTCTCTGGGTGACGGGTGCCTCCCCTTCCCCTCTTTAGCCCCCTCCCAAGCCGGCACCTGGCGCCACCCCCTCAGCACAGGAGCGCCCCACAGTGACGGGTGCCTCCCCCTCCCCTCCCGACAGCCACACCCGCGCTGCCCCCTCAGCACCAGAGCGCCCCACGGTGACTGGTGCCTCCTCCCCCTCCCGACAGGCAGCATCCGGCGCTGCCCCCTCCGCACCGGAGCGCCCCACAGTGACGCGTGCCTCCCTCCCCTCCCGACAGCCAGCACCGGCGCCGCCCCCTCAGCACCGGAGCGCCCCACGGTGACTGGTGCCTCCTCCCCCTCCCGACAGGCAGCATCCGGCGCTGCCCCCTCAGCACCAGAGCGCCCCACAGTGACGCGTGCCTCCCTCCCCTCCCGACAGCCCAACGGCCCGACGCTCACCTTGTTGGCCTTGGCGGCCACCTCGGCCGACAGCTCGTCCTGCGTCTCGGCCAGCCGTCGCTTAGCCAGCTCCGTCTTGCGGTCGCAGTCGTGGATAAACGTTTGCAGATGCTCCATCGCCTGCCAAAATGGGCAACCGTGAAGGTCGGCACTGGACAACAACAGTTAACGAGTAGGATGAATAAGCAAGCCACCGGCGACTCACGTGATCCATACAACGCAGGAGTGTGATCCACACAGCACAGGGGCAGCGTGATCCACACAGCGCAAGGCAGCGTGACCCACACAGCACAGGGGCAGCGTGATCCACACAGCGCAGGACAGCGTGATCCACACAGCACAGGGGCGGCGTGACCCACACAGCACAGGGGCGGAGTGATCCATACGGCGCAGGACAACGTGATCCACGCAGCACAGGGGCAGCGTGATCCACACATCGCAGGGCAGCGTGATCCACACAGCGCAGGACAGCGTGATCCATACAGCACAGGACAGCGTGATCCACACAGGGCAGGACAGCGTGATCCACACAGCACAGGACAGCGTAATCCACGCAGCATAGGGGCGGCGTGATCCACACAGCGCAGGACAGCGTGATCCACACAGCGCAGGACATCGTGATCCACCCGCACAGGGGCGGCGTGATCCACACAGCACAGGACAGCGTGATCCACGCAGCACAGGGCGGCGTGATCCACGCAGCACAGGGGCGGCGTGATCCATACGGTGCAGAGCAGCATGATCCGCACAGCACAGCACAGCGTGATTCACACAACCCAGAGTCGCATCTCGCCGAACGCATCCGCCGTGCCGGATAGTCACGCGTTTTCACACATAGCTGGTAAGTCAGTTTTTGGGGGACGGGAGGACCTTTCGATCATGCAATCCTGCAGCTCCCATTTTGCGTCAGACGCGTATTTACACTGAAAGAAGCACTACATATGGCTCAGCCCAGATTTCGTTCGAAGGATCCACAACTTTCAGATGATTAATTGTGTTGGAGTGATGAGCCATGCCCATGACCGTCCTCTTCCTGCCGTCGAGATACGCGGTCGGCACACAGTAGATACAGGTTGGCGGGGTTCCACTCACATCGATGTCGTAGAAGTAGTCTTTCTCCTTGATGGCGGCCTCGTAGTCGGCGCGTAGAGCCAGGTCGTGGATCTTGGCGCAGGTGCCCAGGTCCATCCTCTGCAACGCAGCACGTGAGGTTGCTGACGCAGCGGCAGCAGAGGCAGACACAGTCACGCTCATAACGCCTCACAGCGCGCCAGTCCAACAGGCACAAACATACCCCAAACGCCATGAAACATAGCAAACCACCCTACATATGTCACGACACGAAACCGACACCATCCGCAACAGAACGCCACGATCGTGGCACCAGCATCAGCAATGTAACTGAACACACTCAGCGGCTGCAAAACTTAACTGAGCGCATGCCACATTAAAGGAAACATTAGAAACGGTTTCGAAAATCCTTGAAGCGTTTATGCCAGATTTGCACGCCAGCCATTGCCCCGTCATGCGGCGAGCCCGCGCGCAACACACCGTGGACGCGAGGATCTCGTTGGGGCAGCAGCTCAGCAGGTGGCTCTTGCACACCTTGGGGTCGGTGAACTTGACGCTCAGCTTGGACTCGCCTGCAAGACGTGGAGAGAGTGAGCGGCCGGCTGCGGCGGCGCGCCGCCCAGCCCGCCACCCCTCCCGCCGCGCAGGGAGCCCGCCGCGCGCCGCCCAGCCGGCTCGGGGGGTCCGCCGGCCGGCTCACACCCACCCCGACCCCGGCGCGCGGCCGCGGCCGCCGACAGCGCCGCCTCAGCGGGACACGGGGCCGAGCGGCCGGCGGCCCAGGCGGCGAGCGGCGCTACTCCGCGTCACCGGCGCCGACCGCCCTCCATCACGCCCCGCCGGCGGCGCCACACATCGCGTGCACGACGGGGCGCCGAAAACACTGCACACACACATACACACACACACACATATACACACACACACGCACAACACACACACACACACACCCTTGGTGATACTCCTACCTCTGCATTAACGAGGACCTCATTCACAGCAGACGTCAAATTCCCCCCTCCAGCAGGGTTTTTTAATTGATTTTCTTTACCAAAAAAATGAATTTTTCGACCGATGGCATGGAATTTGAAAAGTTAACCACAACAGATGCCGTTTTGGGGATTAAATGGAAGCAACACACTACATTTGGGAAAAGGTCTAGTCATATTGGACAGCAGATATTTTATCCACCCCTAGCGGAATTTTTGACCTTGAACGAGGAAGAGGCTACCAGTAGGTCACTGCTCATGTCCGCCCACTACAGGAGCAGTAAGGCCCTGAGACCAATACGTCAGCCCACTGCATACACGCACGTCCGATCGGATGAGCCAAAGGCCTCGCTGTGCAGTCCAATTGCGCATCACCACAGCCTCTATGGAATCACGTCCAAATGTTACAGTATGACAAAGGAAGACAAACTTTACTCTCTGTCCGATTCCGGCCGAGAATTATATATATATATATATATATATATATATATATATATATATATATGTAGTACCACGCGTTTGATACAGACAACAGTAAATTAAGCAATACGCCAAGAAAAAAATTAATTACCACCAAGTCGACAGTTTTCTTCACATCCAAGTTGGTGTGTTGCGCCTACAATCGTTATCGGACGCTGTAAATGATTTCGATACCCCTGTTCCAGAGAATCCATCCTTTGAAAAAGCGAAACCCATCGCCCGATAGGCGTTATCAGGGGGTGGGGGGGAGGGGGGACAGCCACCCGACAGCCCAGTTGAAACAACACCAGCGCGAGTCAGGACAGGCAACGGACGCGGGCGGTTGTGTCACCATGGCAACCGCCCGGCCGGCGGCTCCGACTCACAAAGACGCGCGGTCGGCCCGGGAGCCAAACCAGATCCGCCTGCCGCCGCCTTCTGCAAGTACGTTAGCGCGGCCGCCGCCGGTGTGGTGTTGGCCGCCTGCGGGGTGCCTTCGACGACACACGCCTCCCTTACCTCGGAGGAACCACCAATTCACACTCACCAGGCCACAGGCGGCCTATCCCGCGGCGTTCCGACTCGTTCCCAACCAACCCCGACCCACGTCTGCTCAATGAACTTAAACAAGACTGTCCAAAGTGAACTGAAGTTCTCGTGACTGAAATGACAAACGGGAACAGACACGTGACATTTAGAAACGTCGTTTGTTTCGGACAAGCACAAGCAAATCTTTTCGAAGGCTGGTATCACGTGAGCAAAAAAGGTGCGCACTACGTTCCCGACACCGACGATTATCTACATATAGTGACGCATATATTATTGTGATGCACTATATCATGAGTCACACGGGTGAAGCGGAGAAGATAAGACTGATACAGCTATGAACAAAGTCTGGATTGTTCCGGGCGACCGGGAACGGCATATTTCCCGTCTTTTACTGATCAAGACTGGCATTGAGGTTTTAAATGAGCGACACTATTGGTCTTGGCAGCAGGATGAGAACTAGGCATTGGCAGTCAATGTTAGACAAGTCATGACTGAACAGCAATGACGAAATACTGTGCAACAGTTGACTGGCTGGGCTATTGGAATACACACGTGACTGCTGACATCTGGTGGCGGGATACACGCATTTTTAGCTGGCCACACCCTAGAAGAAAACATAGGCTACTTACTCTCAGAGTTAGCATCCGAATCGCAACACAGACAAAGAGGTAACACTTATTCTGGGAACTGCACTTCTACATATCATTTGATGCCCAGACATTCTTGGAAGTGAGATGCAATGAAATCTCAGCATAAAATGTCACGCACTTTCCGTCCTGTTTGTACCAGGCCAACTTGGGTGAATAAGAACCATGATCCCAGCCTGACAAAACATATCATACAAAGTGTAGATCTAAATCCAAAGAAAAGCCATAGCATTGAAGCAAATTTACAGAATGGCTTCCTGATCCGACGTTAACTTGCAAACCAGAAAGCAGCAGCAGCCATCACCAGCCACAGGGCGATGGCACAGGAGGGAAAACAACACATCCCAAGACGATACCAGACACACTATGATGCGTCAGCAATTGTAACCTGATTTCCAAGTAGTGCATTTCTTGACTGGATTCTCCAGAAAGCCAATGACACATCGTTTCAACTAAATGTGTGATGAAGACCTCTAAACGAGTCTCTGGTCTGGATCGCTGAGCCTGGGAGGCCTGGTGGCTGCGGCATGTCGGCTATTGTTTGCGCTCCTGGCCAGGCCATGGCCAGACTGCCGGCTGTGCCGGGGGCGGACTCACCATCGCGGCTGGTGCCCATCAGCTGGTCCAGCATGGCGCGCATCTGGTCGGCGGCCGACATCGCGGCAACCTCTGCTCAGGGCCCGCCGATCAGCAGAAGTCAGCCTGCCGCAACATGGGCCAACACGTTACCGCACCTGACAGCTGTGCTGCTCGCTTTCGCGATACTGACTGACACATCAACTGCATCTGACAAGTGCACTGCTCACTCCTACAACACTGGTCAACACATCACTACATCTGACAGGCATGCTGTTTACTGTCACAATGCAAGCTGACACATTACTACAACTGGCAGGTGGGCTGCCCACTGTCACTGCATCAGTCAACAGATGACTACATCTGACAGTTGTGCTGCACACTGCCACAATGCTGGTCACACCTTATTACAACTGACATGTGTTCTGACTGTAATTTGTATGCAAAAGTGGTTTAGGCTACAACAAAAAACATGTTACAACTCAGTATTAACATAAACAAAAATATATGCATTGGATCAACTCAGGAAATGCTCAAATGTTGAGCAAAAACCCATTTGGTCCCAAATTCTATATTGTACTCTAATGTCCCAGCAGGTTCATGGACAGCTGAAATCTGAGTTTGTAAAATACAATAGTTCAAAAGTGGTGGCAAGGTATAAACAAAGCTGCTGATTTTGTGGAAATACTGTTTCAGCACTAATTTATTTCAGGGCTCAAAATCATGCAATCATCAAAAAAGCTGCCCATTTTGTGGCAACTGAAAACAATTATTTCAGCAATCCTTATCACTGGTATCTAGCATCAAACACATCAAAATATTTGAAGATCAGGCAATGAAAAAATGTTTGTGCAACAAGGAAAATGCAGAGGAGATGCCCTTTTAAGTTATGACAGATGTGTCGAATATAAAACATTACCTAGATCTAAGACAAATTAACTTCAGTTATGTGCCATAAAACCAAAGCATTCATCTGCTTTCAATGACAACTGACAACCAGTAACTAACATTATTTTAAAATATCTGGCCTTGATACACAATCTTATATGACTGATGTCCTCACATGCTGTCAGGTAACATTATTACAATTGCTGTTTGAAAGAGACCAGGCTAAAAATTTTGCCTCACTTAGCCAGGGCTAACTCTGCAAAAATTATGTTCTTTAAAGCATGAAGTCAATAATTAAAAACACAGGGAATGTGTATCACCAGGCCTTAAACAAATATTACAATGAGGGTGTAACAGGCATGTGTGTCATGTCACATCTTTCAAATAATTTGTGACACAACTAAGAAGTTTAGCAAAAATATTATCTATGTTGTCATGGTAGCTAGGTAGCTATGTGCAATGTTAATCAGTTACTATTTCTGAACTAGTTATACCATCTTGATGCATCAAGGGCAGCAGCCATTTTGATGCTGATCATTGATTGCCTGCCCAGATGCTTAACAGGACATCCTTATAACTGGGGTGAAAAGATGATCAGCGAATGGTCGATTATCCATCCCTGCTCTTGTTAACCTAGCAAGTGTTTCCAGCTGTCTTTGTTGAGATACCAAGTGCTGTTGGTAGCTCAATGATAATTTTTTTGTTAGACAGGGAGGTCAGTGATCAGCCTTCCACTGCTCATGCATGGGTAGCTGGTAGGTAGGTGGGTACATGGATGCCAGCCTGCAACAGCTGGCAAGATCAGTCAGCAAACAAATTTTGGTCAAGTTTGATCCTGCCCTATAGGAGGATGCCACTTCTCTGCTGCAAGCAGATGCAGATATTTGATGACCAGCAGAGGGAAAGTGGCAGCTTCTCAAGGCTTTCCAGACAATCTAATTTGCATTATCAACTACTAACAACTCCCTATTGTTAGAAATGGACCCAGAAAATTTAACCAGATTACCATCTATCATTTGCAATACTTTTACTTGTACCAATATTGCAGCATTTCAAATCATCAAATATATCACAATGTGAAAATGCCAGTTCAGTCTACAAAGCCACCAGATTGACTACTGGTGTATCTGGTGCATTGTTGTAGTATGCTCGATATTTGTGGGCATCACATAAGCTAAAATGGTGGAACAAAGCTTTTCATCATGCTTAGAAGGCCATAAGCATGCATAATTACAAACTGCTGATTTCCACCTGTTTTTGAAGTCACTGAGATTATGTGTGGACATTCGCTGCATACTGCTGCTACATATTGGTCCCACAGTGCAGTTTAAAAACAGATTCACCAGGAATGTGCCTTGTTCCACGGATCAACACCCGCCCTAATGCATCATGAGCTGCCATTGCTGAGGGGAGATCAATTCCAATCACACCATTCGGTGAACATATTTCATCTGGCTGAGAATAACGTGAGGCATGAAATCATCTAACCTCAATCTTGATATTCTGAGCTTTAAAAAAATAGTGACGTCGGCAACCACAGCACAACCACTTCACAATTCACAACCACAAGCATGCAATGCAGACAGCGGCCATCTTTTACCAACGCATTTCGCCGCGCCCGCGCCACACCTACCGGAATCTTCCATCCACGATGGACGGACTATGCCGCGGCTGGAAGAAAATGCAAGTATATCTAGGCACCACAACAATGTCTGTGATAACCACGAATATACTGTCTTCACGGCAGTTGGCTCAAGCAGAAACCTCGAGGCGACGACCCACGCCACACTGTCCCCTGGACGCAAACAGATGATACTAAACAATTCGGCCCGAAAACGAAGAGGGACTAAATGCAGAGCATTAGGACTAAACGCTACCTGGCGACCAAGCGGCCGAACCAAAAGCTGTTGACGGGTCCATGCTCCGAACCGGTGGTACCGATCGACATGAAAACCTTAACCATTCAATGCCGTTTCGTTAATAACCGATCCGTTCCAGATTATGGTGACCTTGAATTTAGGTCAAAGGTCACCAAAACGGCCCCACACCACCAAATATGGATGCAGACAACCCCATGCTCCGAGATTATGCCATTGATTGGACATGAAAACTTTGTCACTCGATGCCACTTGCTTGATAAGCTTTCCTTGCAGAATATGGTGGCTTTGGGTCATGTCAAAGGTCACTAAAATAAAAATAAAAGCAGAAACAGGTTGGCAGATATGCGTCAAGTCGATAAGGCGCACCCATTAGTGAATGTTCCATGGTGATCGGCGCTACAGACTCGGAGCATGTGGTTGTCTGCAACCAATTTTGGTGTTTTTGCATTTTGGTGACTTTTGACCCGACTCAAGGTCAACATGGTTTGAAGAGGATATGATATCAACTATATGCATCGATTGGTGGAGGTTTCATGGCGATGGGTGCCATAAACCTGAGCATGGGGTTGCCTGCAAACTTATTTTCCTATTTCTTTTATTTGTCGTGACATTTAACCTGACCCAAGACAATCATACTCTGGAAAAGGATACGACATCGATTAGGCACATCGATTACTGCAGGTTTTCTGGTGATCTGCATAGGCTCGGAACATGTGGTTATCTGCAAAACATTTTTCCTTTTTTTATTTTTGGTGAACTTTGACTTGACCCAAGGTCACCATGTTCTGGAAGAGCAGGGATATTGAGTAAGTCGCAACCAATTGGTGAAGATTCCATGTCAATCGGTGTCATACCCAGCCAGCATTCCCAACTGGGACCCACATGGGCTAAAAGTGGGGGCAACTGGGTTAATATGGGCATGGGCTACAGGTGGGCCCTTTCAACTGGGCCCAGCTGGTTCCACATGGGACACCCACATCGTTTCATATTTGTGTATGCCCCAAAACCGTTAGTGCCTTGTACCGTTCCGTCAGAATTTATCGCGTCAAGAAAACATAGCTCGCCAGGAGCGAATGCTTGCATTGGTGGGATCTACGTGGGCCATATGTGGGCAAGCTGGGCCCATGTCAGCTTGGTTGCCGGTGGGCTGGTATCTAGTCTTAATATGGAGTCCAGATGGGCTGCCCATATGTTACATGCGCAATCAAGTTTCCACATACACAATATTGATTGCATGCCAATCGTTTTTATTGTCTGGGTTTACCATGTCGTGTACAATTATTGTAAAAATTGTACTGCTGCCTGGACTGGGGTCCACATGAGCTGAGCACGGGCTAGCTGGGCTCATGTCCATGTAGGTCGCGGGCGGGCTGGTATGTGGGCTCCACCTGGCAACCCAGATGGGTTGCCCTACGCTACTGTGTCTGGTGCAGGTGCATTAGCTTGTTTCCTTGTGCTCCCGCATTGGATTTTTCCTTATCATGTACAAATGAGTACATAACAAAGGAGAGCACACCGGTTGGGTATCATCTGGGATCTAGGTGGGTAAGTTGGGCTCATGTCAACATGGTCCACAGATGGGCTAGTTTTTGGGATTCATGCTGGACCCAGATGGGCTGCCCATATGTTACACTCGCAATAAAGTTCATATACACAATTATGTGTATATTAATTGCATTTGTTGTTTAAAGGTTTTACCATATCGTGTACAGTTATTTACATGTGCCACCTCCATGTTCCCGTCCATGTAAGGTGCGGGTGGGTTAATATTTGGGCTCCATCTGGGACCCAGATGGGCTGCCCATACGCTACCATATTTGGTACAGGTACATAAGGGTCTGCTATCTTGTACTCCTACGCTGGATTTTTCCTTATCGTGTACAAACGAGTACATAACAAAGGAGAGCAGTACGAGTTGGGGTTCATAGGGGATGCATGTGGGCAAGTCGGGATCATGTCAACATGGCTGCAGGTGGGCTAGTCTACGGGGTTTATGTCGGACCCAGATGGGCTGCCCATATGCTGACATCTTTTATACCAATGCATTGGTTTTCGGACTTTGCTCTCCATGGTTGGATATTTTCTGATTGCGCACAAGCTAGTCTGCAACAAGGGTGAGCGGCATATACTCAGATCCAAACGGGCCGCAGGTGGGCCAGCTGGCCATATGCCAGCATGGGATGCAAGCGGGCTGATGCCCTGGGCCCATCTGGGACCCAGATGGGCTGCCCACATGCTATCACATTGACTACGTGCGTAATAATTTTCGTACCGTGTGCTCCCTGGTCCGTTTTACCATGCCACGTACCAATAAGAGGGACTGCTGGCATAGATCTCATTCGCACGGACTGCGCGTGGGCGAACTTAGCTCACGTCAACATTGATCGATTCACCTGTCATGTCACTTTAGGCAGTTGGGTGTGTTCTATGCTGGAAGTCTGTGCGCTGAGGGCATGTAACGAGCACTCTTTTTACGTCCCAATGGTTGATGGATCATTTGCTCGCGTTTGGAGCTCCCGGGTGTCTCCTGGCCGGTCGCCCGCAGGGATCTCAGCAGTGGCGAGTGGGGGTTCGCTGACCGGCACCTCCGCGCCCCTGAAGGTGGTGCGGAGGTGCCGGCCAGCGAGCCTGCTGGTGGTTTAGTGATTGTCGCATCCGGCATGATAACAGGGAAGTGTATGTTTGCGTAAGGGTGCTGTTGTCGAGGCGATTTCGTTCAAATACATGGTGCATAAACTTTGACCTGGCTTATTATCGATGACATGAAGCAGTCTGCCTGGAATTACGGCGGTCGATCAACCAGATGGAATTTGAAATCGCAGATCGATGAGACCCAGCTGGGGCCCACTGGGGTGGTTAAAAATGCCCCATCTCGGCTAGCTATATGGGTCCCATCGGGGCTGGTTACATGGGTCCCAGCTGGACTGGCCCATGTGGGTCCCAACTGAGTTATCCAGGCGGGTCTCAGCTGGGCTGCCCAGGGTGGGTCACATGTGTGTCACAGCTAAGCCCCACAAGGGCCCCACATGGCCTCCATGTGGGACCCAGTTGGTTGCCCATGACATGTTCGCATTGGCCCGAGGTAGCAAGCCCAGATGGACCCTATTCGTTTGCACATCTCGGACACACATGGGTCACCATTGTAAACGCTGGATGGGCCCCATGTGTGTCCCAGTTAGGCCCCACATGGGCCCAACAAGGGTCACCCATATGGGTACCAGGTGTTAGCCCATGGCATGCCCACATGGGACCAAAGTGGGCAGCCCAGGTGGGCCCCATATGACTGTCCAACTGGGACCCATATGGGTCCCAATTGGACATGCTGGCTGGGATAGGCTCGAAGAATAGGGCTGCCAACAGGTTTGGTCGGCCGTTTAGTCCCTTCACAAAAACCGAGGTACCAGGCAAGCCCCGCATTACTGCATTCTGGGTAGGCGACGCTGTGGCGTCATATTGAGACTTAAGTATATGGCACCAAGTTACAAAGGCGCGAAAACCCTTTCCTTCGCGGGCTGGTTTAAATATAATATACCCATAAACCGAATTGTTTTCAATTTAGCACCTTCAATAAATAATTTTCAGCTGGGAAATGGCGTTGGTTGGCACCAGAACCACAAAATTATTGCTGAAATGCGCTTTCAAACCTGCCCCCAACAGAGAGATGGGGTAACCCATTCACCAGTGATTTACTCCAAAGAACTCTAGTCGGAAGTACTTAGAAATAATGGGCGTAGAGACAGGGGAGCCAGGGGCCATGCCCCCCCCCCCCCTCCCCACTTTTCAAGTGGGGGCGAGCAGCAATGTTAACTCCCTCACTTTCCCGATAGGGGTTGCATTTGGCTTATTTTTGCACTACATTAAACACGCATGCCGATTTACCTAGTCTTCCAGCCATCTCCCTTAAGATGAGTCATCTTTTTCGTTTGGCCGTTAGCCATCGCTTGGCGTTACAGCTGCAAGGCCGACGCCGCACGGCCTGGAGACTGCAATGCCGAGCGTCCGAGGCTGTTATTGCCATGACTTGCGAGCGCGCGTGTTCAACACCATATCACGTAGTTTTTCTTATCAGTGATCAACTCTGACAGCAGGATCTTGAGCATTTTAAGACGAAAATGGGTTAGCCATGTTAATACAATTTTAAAAATTAACCCCATTTCATCCACAATCTACAGTCGGGGAGAACTCGACGTCTCTGAAGAACAACACGGAACTGGGGTCTATGCAACAACTTTCGGACTACCTGCGGTGATCAGGGATGTTGTTGCGTCAATGAGAGTTCCTGTGCTGATCCGGGGCTAACTGCGTGGGTCAGGTGGCCTCCCATATCAGGGATGGGAACAATGTGATATGATACATCCTTCTAATGGCCTCCGGATCGACCAGGAGATCCCGCCCCGTGCCACCAGAATGATAGCCAGAAGACACTTCGCGATAGGACGGAATGACCCTTTAGCCCTTGACCGGAAACGATAATGAACCCCTGGTGTTCTATTAAAGAGGCCCCTTGCTCGGAAGGAAATAGGAGGCATAATTATTGTTGAGTAGAGTGGGGGTATTGTCATTAATGAATAGGGTGGATCGAAATGAGCTTAAAGAAACGAGCAAGATCATGCCATGTTTGCCTGAGAACGCTCATTTTTCAGCATGCATTATTGAAACAAATTACATCAAAAGGCTTAAACATGCCCGCCCGCAACCTCGAGAGCGGGGACAAGGATGGTCTGGGTTGCAACTTCAGTAAAACCGAAAAGTTTCGGCCACTGCAAGTGCCACCAGACGGCGGGTG